TGTTTGATATAATTGTCTTCAAGGTACTAAATCTCGCAAGCATGTTTGTAAATTATCTAAATAAAAACAGCATATTACCTTTACAGAAAATCATGTTTTATTTATAATTGGTATTTCTAATGTAAACACATTTTCTTTTGTGCTGTCGTTCGACTTGAGGCTTGTCAACTCAGTTTGTACTTTCATTGCTGAAGTTCTGTAGCTTTATTCTTTCCTGTGTGAAGAACTTGCATTGCATGGCATGGTGCATTTCCACTTTCATTGATCATTGCTATAAGCACATAGTCTTAGCATTTCGTCTTCCAAATAACAATATGTAGTGCTGTGCACTGACAGAGCTTGATTTGTTAACTCATTTACACACTAGTTTAAACACAGCAGACATTTATTCTACTTTATGTCCTTTACCTAGGTGTGAAACTAAACCTTGCTGGGAATTTAATTAGAAACATATACTGCAAATGGAAAAGTAGTAATATATCTTTCTCCTAGTTATCTCTATAAAACAGAAATGTAGGCCCGCTGGTCTTACACTCTGCATCCGATCTAAAGTTTAATTTTTGCAGGCAGGCAATAAGCATTGATAATGTATTAATAGAAAGGTTCTGGTTGAGATAGTAGTAGTAGAGACACCAAAGCTTAACATCTTAGAATTTAACTTTTTTTTTTTTACTGTCTTTAGAAAAGAAGTACATTAAGTGGAAATTGCAAATGCTCAGAGGTAACATCAAAGTGTCAAGGTACAGTCTTGTTGTGGTTTTTATGCAAGGTCAGTGCAACTTCTGTGTAACAAGGTACACTTTTGAAAAACCCTACTTGAAAGGAAAGTGTCATATTTTCAATGTTGTTTCAGCTGAACATGTAAAAGAGATCAGCTTGATGCAAATAATCATATCAATATATGTTAAAGCTGAACTAAAGTCTTTTTTATTTTTTAGGATGTTTATTGCAGAAGAGACATGTGCGCAGGACTTGCTGCGCCTCTGTGGGGGACCCTGAAATAGTGTTCGCTAGTACCCTAAATGCGGGCTGAGGCCAACATTAACACTGATTCAGATTTAAGGAGGCACTCCATCTTACAATCCGTGCTAATCCATTCACCAATTAACACTTTGTAATCTGCAGCACCGTTCATTACTCTCTCTGTGCTTTGGGCGGTAGATTACACTACATTTTTTGGGTGCAGCACTTCTGCGCTGGTACCACTGAGACTATACTCCATCAGCATAGCTACCAGTCACTTAACTTTCATTGACATCAACCACATGTTAAGCATGCATACCAGGAAGCCAAACTCTTGCACATATTTTGAGCTTCTTAAACCCCAAGGTCTCTCTTTCTCCACCTTGCTTGATATTACAGGCTGGGTCCCTAGGACTCTCCATGCTACGATCTCAGACCCAGTATGTGGGGGTTACGATCGCTAGGGAAGGAGTCAAGCTCACAAGCTCCATCACTATGATGGTATGCCATCACCTATGCCATGTCATACTGTTTCCGGACTAGCTTGCTGCTTAGGCACCTGACACTAGTACTAGTAGTCATGGACAAGGGCAATATAGCTTCCTCCGGATAGCTTTTCTGCTTGTTGGACATTTATACAGCATCTTTACTAACTACTTTCATCCCATTGTTATTCCCTGTTCTTTGGATATGCTATGCATGCAGAGTTAAATAACAGCAGAACTTTTACTCGCAGAATGTTACATTGCCTTCAGCATTAATTACAGTCACCCTCTCTGACTGTGGTGCCTCCTGGCAGCCCTTCTGCCCTATTTAGATATCATATCTCTATAATGCAGAAAGTCCTTAAAGCCCTTAATGTTCATGTTCTTGGAACCCCAAATGGGTCCCCCCCACATACATTCTTGCACTGTGCCAGCATGACTTACCTCCTGTGCATGTATGAAAGTTATTCCATCCTGTGCCAGCCATTCAATATGGCCAATGACATTAGTTCCACTTTAAAATTTTAACAAAACCTTATGTCTATGCATAGTTTGTTACATTGGATGTACAGTACATGAGGTAGTCACAGTTTTTTATTGCATATGTAGGATCTGTAAAAAAGACATAAACATTAGGCAAATACTATAATACAAATGTTAGATATTGCTTTTCAAAAATACACTATCCTTTTCATTTAACCCTTTCACTGCTAATAATATGTACCACACATCGTGGCCTCGAAAGGTTTAAAACAAGCTCAAGGCTTCATTAGTGCCTTGTGGGAGGCCAGGACTACAAAAAACCTTTTAGGGACAAAAAGGCGAGAATAGATACCTGATCTCTTTTTTCATGAAGTGAATCTAGGGACACCTTTTTTTTGCTGTGCATCCAGCAACACATTGTAGACAGAAATTGTACTTTAATTAGTATTTAATTATGGGTATTCATTTGAAATAAGGGTGGTTCTACACCTGGCAATCTTTAACCTATTGCCATAGTTTAATTAGGCATATAAAAGAGAGCTGTGTTTATCAGAGCTAAAGACAATCAAAAATAATCACTGATCATAACAGTAAATACATAAAATTGAAAGTCATTTTGTTACACTGGGAATGTGAAATGCAATATATATATATATAAAATGATAATGCTTAAAATAAAAGTACAGCTTATTCAGTAAATAAACTAAACTTGCTTTTTAAAATGTAAATTTTTTTTGTCATTGGAATAACAAGGACTGTAAGAACATTGCAAGAACATAGGCGGCTCAGTGGCTTAGTGGTTAGTACGTCTGCCTTGCAGTAAATGGGTCATGGGTTCGATTCCTGACCATGGCACCTCCTGCATGGAGTTTGCATGTTCTCCCTGTGCTTGTATGGGTTTCCTCCGGGTGCTCTGGTTTCCTCCCACACTCCAAAGACATGCTGGTAGGTTAATTGGATCCTGTCTAAGTTGGCCCTAATATGTGTATGTATGAATGTGAGTTAGGGACCTTAGAATGTACAGTCATTGAGGGTTAGGGACTGATATGAATGTGTTGCCTTCACAGGCTAATTGAATTGAAGTTACTTATATGGGACATGTATTGAACCACTGCCATCTAGTGGCAAACATGAATGGCAGGTCTCCTCTGCATATGTAAGCTCTCAGACAGGAAATGACTCTTTGTTTAGGAAGCTCGTCAGCCATTTTAGACTTCTATTCACTGGGGATGCAGTGTGCTTGCTTCTCTCCCAAGAGGCCTGAGACATCATCACCTGTAAGTGCCTTTCTTCTGTGTCATCTGTCATTTATGTTACACTAGTTATTCTATGTATACTGATATGCTGTTATTGTATTGTGTTTCAGTTTCACCTATAAAATAAAGTTGGATTCTTTGGTAGACAACACAAGCAGTGGGCTTCTGTTTGCTGGAGATTCTGACAAGGATTTAGCTGTCCGTTTAGAGCCACACATAGTCAGTGTTTTGAGAACGGAACAGTGAAAAGGTGAAGCGCAACAAGCCTGGAGATAGGAGTCACTGCACAGACAGAATGAGTCTAAGATCAGGAAGACAGTATAAGGCTGAAGATCAGCCACCCGGGACACATCAAGGCAGGGAGAGCATGCCAAGTGTCCAGCAAGATGATGCACGCTCACACTCGTCTAGATCAGCAAGGTCCAGTCAGATTTCATCAGCAAGTGCCCTTTTAGCCAGAGCTCGCGCCAAAGCAGAGGCAGCTCGTGTTCAGCTAGAATTCGCTGAGAAAGAGGCCACCGTTATGAAGGAAATTGCTGAGAAAGAAGCCGCCGCTGCAGCAGCAGAGGCTGCCATTATAAAGGAAAGGGCTGAGAAAGAAAAAGAAAAATCAGAACAAGAAGCAAAGTTGCATATTCTTCAGCGTCAGTGTGCAGCCGCCGCCGCCGCAGCAGAGGCCGCAGCTTATGCCGAAATGGAACGGTATGGAAGTGGGTCTATCCACGAAGGCCCATATGTGCCTGAGAAACCCCTCTCCTCAGTAGAACGCACAAGGGAGTATGTCCAAGAACTTTCAAGCAGCAATGCAACAAAACAGTTCCCTAATCTAGAGTCAGCTGAATCTAAACCAAGACCAGCAGAATCCCTGAGTGTACAAAAACAAACCAATCCAGAATCAGCTGAATCTAAACCAAGACCAGCAGAACCCCTGAGTGTACGAAAACAAACCGATGAGGCCAGCAGTACCAGAGCGATTAAAAATGAATCCTTAGTACAGCAATCCAAACACCAGAGTACACAAGATGTGTCAGGGCTCCAGGTGTGACCAGAGGTGTGTGGCTGACGCAGGGAAACGCAGACCTCAGATATGTTATAAACAATATAATTTATTAACACTAACAATACAAACATAAACGCAGTGCAATACTAAAACATAATACAGTGCAACCAAACCAAACCAACCACCCACAGATAACAGTACATACAAGCAAGCGTCGTCAGGCAGGCCGGGTCAATATCAATAGGGCAGGTAGGTACAGGGGGAGCAAGCGGAGATTGGTCGGGTCACAGGCCAGGTTCAGCAGGTAGCAAGCAGCGTAGTACAGAGGGTCAGGCAGAGGGATGGTCAGGGTCACAAGCCAGGGATCAGAACAGGTAGCAAGCAGCGTGGTACAGAGGGTCAGGCAGAGAGATGGTCAGGAGCGAGCCGGGATCAGAGCAGGGGAAGTCAGCAGCGGTTCAGAAACAGGATGCAGGACAGAAACAGGATACAGGGCCCAGGACAAACACAACACCAAGGCAGAGTCTGTGGGTCTGGCCATCCCTTAAATACCCCAGCATAATCAGTTCCAGGTGTTATCTGGCTGCAAAGTTGAGTCTCTGATTGCTGGGAGCATCCGCTGGCCAGCCCTGGGACTGCAGATCAAAAGGCAGGTGAGTCCCACCATTGCTGGCCAGTCCATTCCTGACAGTACCCCCCCCCCCCCCCCTCAAGGAGCGGCCTCAGGATGCTCCAAACAGTCCTAGCTGGGAAAAATGTTCCACCGCCCGGGTCTGGTAACTGGCGGGATATCAAAGACTGGCACACCGGGCAGGACTCCGGGCAGCAGTACACCGGGCTGGACTCCGGGCAGTGGCACATCGGGCTGGACTCCGGGCAGTGGCACATCGGGCTGGACTCCGGGCAGAGGCACACACCGGGCTGGACTCCGGGCAGTGGCAGTGGCACACCGGGCTGGACTCCGGGCAGTGGCACATCGGGCTGGACTCCGGGCAGTGGCACATCAGGCTGGACTCCGGGCAGTGGCACACACCGGGCTGGACTCCGGGCAGTGGCACACCGGGCTGGACATCGGGGGACCGGGCAGTGGCACATCGGGCTGGACTCCGGGCAGTGGCATATCGGGCTGGACTCCGGGCAGTGGCACATCGGGCTGGACTCCGGGCAGAGGCACATCGGGCTGGACTCCGGGCAGAGGCACATCGGGCTGGACTCCGGGCAGAGGCACATCGGGCTGGACTCCGGGCAGAGGCACATCGGGCAGGACTCCGGGCAGAGGCACATCCGGGCAGCCCCACTCCGAGGCAGGAACATCGGGCTACCGGGCGAAGCACAGCGGGCAGGCAGCGGGCCATCGGGCGGGGCGGGCAGGAGCACCGGGCACAAGCCCGGCGGGCGGGGCGACGGGCCTCGGGCCCCGGGGGGGGGCGACGGGCCCCCGGGCGGAGGCACCCCGGCTTCAGAGGCGTGGCGCGGGCGCCGGACCCCCAGGCGGAACTACAGGTCTCAGGCCCCTCAGGCGGGGCGGCGGGCGCCGCCGACCCCCAGATGGAGCGACAGGGCTCGGGCCCTCAGGCAGCGGCACATGCGGAGCGGCGGGTGGCCGGGACCCCCAGATGGAGCGAGCAGGTTCAGGGGCTCGGGCCCTCAGGCGGAGAGGGGCGGGCGCGCTGGACCCCCAGATGGAGCGACAGGTTTCGGGCCCTCAGGCGGAGCGCGCGGGCGGGGGGCCCCGGGCCGCCGGGGGCGGGGGGGACAGGCATCGGGCCCCCAGGCGGGGCGACGGGCCTCGGGCCCCCAGGCGGGGCGACAGGCCTCGGACCCCCAGGCGGGGCGACGGGCCTCGGACCCCCAGGCGGGGCTACAGGTCTCGGGCCCTCAGGCGGGGCGGACAGGCATCAGACCCCCAGGCGGGGCGACAGGCATCGGACCCCCAGGCGGGGGCGACAGGCATCGGGCCCCCAGGCGGCGGGGGCGGCGGGCGCCGGACCCCCAGGCGGAGCTACAGGTCTCGGACCCCCAGGCGGGGGCGACAGGCATCGGGCCCCCAGGCGGGGCGACAGACATCGGGCCCCCAGGCGGGGCGACAGACATCGGGCCCCCAGGCAGGGCGACAGACATCGGGCCCCCAGGCGGGGCGGCGGGCGCCGGACCCCCAGGCGGAGCTACAGGTCTCGGGCCCTCAGGCGGGAGCGGCGGGCGCCAGACCCCCCAGATGGAGCAACAGGTCTCGGGCCCCCAGACGAAGCGGCGGGCACCGAGTCACCAGGCACGACAGTGGGCACCAAGTCGTCTGGCAAGACTGCGGGCACCGAGTCGTCTGGCAAGACTGCGGGCCCCCAGATGGAGCGACAGGTCTCGGGCCCTCAGGCGGAGCGGCGGGCGCCGGACCCCCAGATGGAGCGACAGGTCTCGGGGGCCCTCAGGCGGAGCGGCGGGCGCCGGACCCCCAGATGGAGCGACAGGTCTCGGGCCCTCAGGCGGAGCGGCGGGCGCTGGACCCCCAGATGGAGCGACAGGTTTCGGGCGGGGTCGCCCTCAGGCGGAGCGGCCCATGAGCGGCGGGCGCCGGGCCCCCGGGCGGGGCGACAGGCATCGGGCCCCCAGGCGGGGGCGACGGGCCTCGGGCCCCCAGGCGGGGCGACAGGCCTCGGACCCCCAGGCGGGGCGACGGGCCTCGGACCCCCAGGCGGGGCTACAGGTCTCGGGCCTCAGGCGGGGCGGGGGCACAGGCATCGGACCCCAGGCGGGGCGAACAGGCATCGGACCCCCAGGCGGGGGGCGACAGGCATCGGGCCCCCATGCGGGGGCGGGGCGGGGCGCCGGACCCCCAGGCGGAGCTACAGGTCTCGGGCCCCCAGGCGGGGGGTCGACAGGCATCGGGCCCCCCATGGCGGGGCGACAGACATCGGGCCCCCAGGCGGGGCGACAGACATCGGGCCCCCAGGCGGGGCGACAGACATCGGGCCCCCAGGCGGGGCGGCGGGGCGCCGGACCCCCAGGCGGAGAGCTACAGGTCTCGGGCCCTCAGGCGGAGCGGCGGGCGCCGGACCCCCAGATGGAGCAAGCAAGACAGGTCTCGGGCCCCCAGAACGAAGACGAAGCGCGGGGGCACCGAGTCACCAGGCACGACAGTGGGCACCGAGTCGTCTGGCAAGACTGCGGGCACCTGAGTCGTCTGGCAAGACTGCGGGGGGGGCACCGAGTCGTCTGGCAAGACTGCGGGCACCGAGTCGTCTGGCAAGACTGCGGGCACCGAGTCGACTGGCGGAACAGCGGGCACCGAGTCGTCTGGCAAGACTGCGGGCACCGAGCCAACTGGCGGAACAGCAGGCTTCGAGTCGTCTGGCAAGACTGCGGGCACCGAGTCGTCTGGCGGGGAACAGCGGGCACAGAGTCGTCTGGCAAGACAGTGGGCTCCGAGTCAACAGTCACGACAGTGGGCACCGGGTCATCAGGTATCGGATTGTCTGGCTCGACAGCGGGCATCGGGTCACCAGGTATGACAGCGGGCACTGGGTCACCAGGCATCAGGTCATTTGGCTTGCCAGCGGGCACCGCGTCATTCTGGCAAGGCAGTGGGCACCGGGTCACCAGGAATGACAGCGGGCTCTGAGTCAATTGGCACGACAGCGGGCACTGGATCAGGTACCGGATCATCTGGATCCACAGCGGGCCGATCGAGTCAACTGGCCTAATAGGATCGTCGGGCTGGATCAGTTCATCATGCTGAGTAGCGGCATCAGGCTGAATGCAGGCATCAGGCTGAGTAGAGGCTTCAGGCTGAGTAGAGGCTTCAGGCTGAGTAGAGGCATCCGGCTGAAGAGAGGCATCCGGCTGAAGAGAGGCATCCGGCTGAAGAGAGGCATCCGGCTGAAGAGAGGCATCAGGCTGAGTAGAGGCTTCAGGCTGAACCACGGAAGGCAGGTTCACCGGTTTGGATACTGGCAGGATGGTATTTGTTGGAAAGAATTTTCGCTTTTTTCTGGTTTTAACTACTGGAGCACTGCAAGTAAACGCAGGTCTGCAAACGAATGGAGCAGCTGGAGACAGAGAAAAACTGGAGGATGGAACAGGAGAGGGGAGAGCAGTTGCTACAGAGGGCTTTTTTACAGGGTTAAAGGCAGGATAGGTGCAGCGAGTGGGAACAGGGTACTGACATGCGGTAGATAGCCAAGTATACTGGGCTGTAACTGGAGGAGCTGGTGGGAATACAGGAGTAGAGTTAGAAGCAGGACTGGGTTTTTGTAAGCTGACTGAGGCTGGGTGCAACAAGTCTGTCCATGTCTGCAGTATGGGTTGAACAAAGCTGAGCTTACACAAAGCCTGTCTGGTCAATGACTGCACTGCGTTTATACAATCTCTTAGTGTCTGTGGTGAAACATGTGGAATAACGCTCCAGAAAGTAACCCACATCATCCTCTAATAACCACACCAGGGACTCTACCTGGTCTGCACTAAATGGTGGCAAAAATTCATCCTGCATTCGGGGGAACCAGATGAAACCAACTCAGCACAAACCTCAATCAAAGGCTGCACCTCAGAGAACTCTGTGCCCTGATCTACTAGAACATGAGCGAGCCGTATACATTCTAGTAGTTGATCCCTGGGATACTCCTTCAGAGTTTGATAAGCATACTCCCTGTCATCAAACACTAGCAGATATAAATACACAACCTCATCCAGATCCATCCTTCCCAGCAACAAGCCAAGATGGCTTCCCTGTGCAGCCACTTCTGGTCAGGATTGGCCTTGGTGTAATGTCAGGGCTCCAGGTGTGACCAGAGGTGTGTGGCTGACGCAGGGAAACGCAGACCTCAGATATGTTATAAACAATATAATTTATTAACACTAACAATACAAACATAAACGCAGTGCAATACTAAAAACATAATACAGTGCAACCAAACCAAACCAAACCAACCACCCACAGATAACAGTACATACAAGCAAGCGTCGTCAGGCAGGCCGGGTCAATATCAATAGGGCAGGTAGGTACAGGGGGAGCAAGCGGAGATTGGTCGGGGTCACAGGCCAGGTCAGCAGGTAGCAAGCAGCGTAGTACAGAGGGTCAGGCAGAGGGGGATGGTCAGGGTCACAAGCCAGGGATCAGAACAGGTAGCAAGCAGCGTGGTACAGAGGGTCAGGCAGAGAGATGGTCAGGAGCGAGCCGGGATCAGAGCAGGGGAAGTCAGACAGCGGTTCAGAAACAGGATGCAGGACAGAAACAGGATACAGGGCCCAGGACAAACACAACACCCAAGGCAGAGTCTGTGGGTCTGGCCATCCCTTAAATACCCCAGCATAATCAGTTCCAGGTGTTATCTGGCTGCAAAGTTGAGTCTCTGATTGCTGGGAGCATCCGCTGGCCAGCCCCTGGTACTGCAGATCAAAAGGCAGGTGAGTCCCACCATTGCTGGCCAGTCCATTCCTGACAAGATGTCACTAAATATCTTATCCGTAAAGAAATGGTTAATTCGGGCTTTCTCAAAGTTGATGACTGCCCTGAGAATTACTGGGCATGGAAGTCTTCTTTTCTGTATGCAGTCAAAGACTTAGGCTTATCAGCAGCCGAGATGCTCGACCTGATGATTAAAATGGCTTGGGACGGAGTCAGCAGAACATGCAAGAAGGATGCGCAGGGTACATTTTATTTAACCCTCAGCAGGACTTGATATGGCCTGGCAAAGGCTAGAGGAAAGATATGGATCACCAGAGGCAATTGAAGGTGCTCTAATAAAAAGACTTGAGTCTTTTCCCAAGCTAAACAGCAAAGACAACTTGAAAACTGCAAGAGCTGGGTGATATTCTTTGGGAAGTCCAGTGTGCCAAAGGAAGAAGGCTATTTAAGAGGACTTGCACATTTAGATACCGCCAGCGGTACTAAGCCAAATCATAGTGGAGAAACTACCTCACAACCTGCAAGAAAAATGGGTGAGTGTTGGAGCCAAATACAAAGAAGAATATGATGTCCCCTTTTCCCCTTTCTTTGTGTTTTCTAGATTTGTACAGCAGCAAGCAAGGATCCGGTGTGATCCCAGCTTTTCCTTCATCACCAGCAGTCAACTGCCAAAGGCAGAAAAGCCACTTCGATCCTACAATAGGACTTCAGTGATCGCCCACAAGACAGCGGTTTCCCTCTGAGGACCCAGGCTGTCCAAGCAGCTACAAGGTAAACACCTTTGAAGGTCCTGACAGACTTTGCCCCTTCATAAAAAGCCCATCCTCTAAACAAGTGCAAAGGGTTCAAAAGTAAACCCATCAAGGAAAAGGATAGCCTTTCTTAGACAAAAACGGCATCTGCTTCAAGTGTTGTGGATCCACTAAGCATCTAGCAAAAGACTGCAAAATACAAGCGGATTGCTCAGAATGTGGCAGTAACAGACACATCACAGCTTTACACCCTGATACATTGCATCAACCACTAGAGGTCGCTGAAGAGCAGAAGATGAGGGCAGGGAGCAAAAAGGATAATTCAGCTACCCCAGTAATGTCCAAATGCAACTGAAATCTGTGGCGACAGTACAAGTCCACGCTCATGTGCCAAGATCTGCCTAGCAACAGTGTACCCCACAGGAAAAAAAGGAGAAGGCAGTTAAGATGTATGTAGTTCTGGATGAACAGAGTAACAGATCCTACTGGCAAGGTCAGACTTTTTCGATGCCTTCAACATTATTCAAGTGCTATCCATACACCCTAAAGACATGTGCAGGAATGATAGAAA